CATCAGAAACATCAATTTGGTATTCTAGTGGAGAAATCTTTCAATCAACATCTTATTCAAAGGGAGTTGTCAAAAATCTCAGCACCCTGGAATTTTAAAAGAAATGACAAGAGTGACCTCAGCTGGTCACTTCTAGTAGTGCAATAATGCAGAGTGTGGCGCCAATATTGAATTAAATGTATTTATTTTTCCTTGTTTATTAAGCTGCTTTCATCATTACCTGGGTGTAATGGCCAAAACTGTTAATATCTGCAACGTCTTAATCAAGTGTTGTGCTGCTTTTAAACCCACAAGCGTGTTTACATCTTTGAGGTCGAAAAACAGCCATTCTAACTCGCAGTCAGTTTCATTAAGTGTGAGTGTGAAATAATTAAAACAAATGATAGCCTTCACATATCAGAAACAGATTATGGTGGTTCTCACATGCTTTAAGGACTTTTACCTTGAAGAATTTTTGCCTGATTTTTGTCATGTTCATGAGCATGACCCCTGAGTTAATGCCCGTCTTGCCATAGTAAGGGTGGCGAGCAAAACGGTTGTACCATCCAATCCGAGGCTCCTCGTGCTCTGGAGCCATGGCAGCCAGGTGGCTGGTGTTGAACCGAGAAAGCAGGGCCCAGATGTTTTCAACTGGCTGCAGAAAAAGAATGTCTGTGTCCACATAAAGCAACGAGTCCACTTCCTTTAGGATTAGCTGGTGAAAAGAAAAGTATTATATGAACACTTTTTATTTAAGAACATCTATAAAAGGTCAGAAAGCCGAATGATTTAGAACCTACTGGGAGGAAGAGTCTCTGAGAGGCACAAGGCTTGAAAAGCTTTTTCCACTCTTCTGCATTCTTCTTGGGAAATGTGATTGGATAGATGGTGAAGGTGAATTTTGCTTGAAATGTTCTTGGCCACAATTCCAGCTAGAAGAAAAGACGAACACACAAATGTGTCATGACAAGCTCCACAGATCCAATTTTGACATTTAAAATGTTCAAGTCAAAATGTTAATTCAAAAAGATAACATACACTTCTCACAAAAAGTCAGGGATATTTGACTTTTACAGGTCAACTTTGTGACCTTCTCTAAACTTGGGAATGCACATGTCCCCACTGTTCATGGTTTCAGTACGTTTTGCACAAACTTACTGTTCTATAAGGA